TACAAAGAAAAAACAGCAAAAAAGGGGGGGGGGAGAGGGGGGGGGGGGGGGGGGGGGGGGGGAAGCCGAAAACAATGCCTAAGAGGAGAGAGTCGGCTATCGCTGCCGTCAGACTGTCTGGCAGGTTTCACACCGAAACGAAGATCGGCAGACCGGGGGACGTACAGGGGAACTTGCCTCCTTCGATTCCAGCAGCAGCAACACCAGCATCAGCTCTATAAATCACAGACGTGCGACGGACGGCAGGAGCAGGGCTCAACGAGTATATAGCTCACGTTTTCCTTTTCTCCTCTCCTTCGGGCCATCTTTACCTTTCCGACTCCTCCACACCATCCACCACCTCTCTACCTCTGCGGGCACAGCAGCTGGTGCTGAGATCCCACCAACTGTTGCTTTGGTTGTTTTTTGATTTTGTTTTAGATGTTTGTTGAGGCAGCAGCCTCTTGAGATGTACAAAGGAACATAAATTTCACACTCGAACACACACACACACCCGCAAGCATGCCTCCGCTGCGCTTGTGAGAGATTTCGTGTGTGCTTGTGTGTGTGTGCCTTTATGCTGCTGCACTCTGCTGTCCAGTTTCCGACGCGGGGCCGTGTCAGGGGAAGAAACAAACTAAAAGGCAAAAGCAAAGTAAAAGATAAGATATGGCGGAGGCAGAGACACGCTAGACATTGTGGCGACATTGTCGATGTTCCATGCTGCGGCAGCGGCGGCGACGGCGCTGCAAGCCACCACACCGATCCACTCTCTCTCAAACACACACGCATGTATGCATTTGTAGGTGGCAGAGCACAGTGGGTGAAGTGATCAATCTAGCACGAAAGAGGCCAACTTTTTAAATGAAGAATTTAGTCAGTGGTTCAAATAATATTTTTAGTAGGCACTCAATTGCGTTGCTTGTTTTCCTTCATCTAACATATACAACTTCAACTTCAAACATATAGAAATTCGATATGGAATACATTTAGAGCCAAGAGTTTTTATTGGTAGATTGACCATTTCATCCACTGTGCAGCGGTACGATGGCTCTTTCTCTCTCTCTTGCCTCTGTCTCTCTCTCTTTGTGGCCAGTTTAGGCCTCAGCAGTATCGGCCGGGCCGGCTATATTCTGTGTCTGCCACTCCACAGCAAGTTGGTGGATGTCAGTCGACAGAAAACTTTGCGATCGTTGGTTGGTTTTGGTTTTGGTTCTTCAGTTCGTACTTTTCGAGTATTTTCGGACGAGTTTTCAAATTTCACGAAACGAAACAACGGCAAAAAATCGTACACATAAGGCAGAAAATCCATTGTATAAACAAGATCTACAACACCTTAATGCACATACACACGTGCAGTACATATGTATAGTGTGTTCGCATGTACATAGGTGTACAAACAGTAACTATAAATAGCCAACGGAAATCGATAAATAAATAAAGCGTTTAAGTAAAAGTTCCATCTCTCCTCTGCCTCCACACACACACACACACACACACACACACACAATACACACCCACAATAATAGAAGAAATTCTAATTGCGACTTTGCAAAAAAAAAAACCAACAGCAACAACAAAAGTTTGATGGTGAAATAAGTGCATATTTAAATATTCGATTATAATGCTGATCTCCGAGCATTTACTGCTCTAACTGTGAATACGAACACACACTTACGAACACTTGCGGCACGGCACACACAAAAGAGTTAAAAGTTGAACGTATTCGAATTGCTTGCACTGAAATGTTTGCCCGATGTTTATTCCTGACCTTGTTCGTGGTGGTCATGGCGGTGGCCGGCAAGAGCAACGATCAATCCAAGGAGCAGACGGTAAGTTAAGCACAAAAATGTAAATTTGTGTTAGTTTCGATATCCTTACTAATCCGATTACAGGGTATGCTTAAAAGGATCAATCATTGCCAAATACTCGTCTTTTAAGTAGTGCCCCTGCTCATTCCGCTAAGACATACAAATGTTCACCACTTGGTAATCCCAAGAAAACACTTGAATATTCCAGGTATTAAAAGTGCTTCTTCGGCTGGGCCTTGGCTGGGCTTGTCCAAAAGGCAGACAAAGAAGCAGTTGCCACTGATGCTGCTTAACTCCAGCTTGTGACTTCTACCTAACCTGCTGCCGCCGCCGCGCTGTCTGCCAACTTCGTGTTGGCTGGGAGTTTGCCGGCCTGGCCCGGCCCGGCCCGGTCCCACCCCACCCCTTTCAATGTCTCTCCATCATTTTTGTTTTTGTTTCATCTGCCCGACGTACGAACGAGTTTCGTTTCATGTTCGTTGGTTCGTTCAGCAAAAAGACAGGGGAGAACACAAAAAAAAGAACAGAAAACGGTCCAAAGCGTTTTGCCTCTTCGAATTGGAGTTGGTGTTGAAGTTGGCCAGTACAGAACCCATACCCATGCCCAGAGCAGAGGTTTTTTTTTTTGCCAATGCCACTAAGCTCCCTGATGATGACAAAGTGTGAAGAAGTATTTAAAGTGTTATTCTGGCTGTTGGGATCGGACTTGGACTCGGCATAGGGATCCCTTTTCCCTTTCCCCATCACTCCTCATAAGTCTTCTTCTCCCGTACGGCGAGCGTGAGAACTGTCAGTCAATAATTTTGTCGTTATCTCGGTAACAATCCTTGAGCTGTCTCCATTTATAATTTGTGGCCCTGTGCGAGAGACAGGGTGCCCCAGCCGGGGCTGGGCGTTGCTTTGGATTCCCAATCCAGGCACGTTTTTGGGATAACGCCCTATTTATATAAAGCAAATAATAATATTCAAAGGAATGCCATTTGCATTTCCAATTAGACATTCTCATGTCATTGGCGCCGACTCCGACTGTGATCGATGGCATTCCGTGTCAAGTACACCTACCCAACACCGCCCCACCAACTATCAGGCCACACCAGATGCCCCAACAATGTATTCCAAAGAACGGACATTGGATCTGCTGATTGCAGCAATATGATGGCATACGAGTATTCTCTGGCCCGCTCCCCATTCGTTCGATATCTGTCTGCACTGAGTGCCCCTATGTACATATATACAGACATACATCTGTATCTGGGAGTCGAAAATCACCTGCGCACTCCGATTACCAGAGAGCGCGTGCTCAAAGCACACAATTCGGATTCAAAGTGTTTACAGACATTCTATTATATTTGGGTGCATGTATGTGCATAGAAACAATAAATATGTATTTGGGGAAACAAGATAACACTGGGGCAGGTATTATTTGTATTACCTCTGAAGGTACAACATTTATGTCTGGCTTCTGGTATTTAAAGACATCCAAAGTTTTAATAAAAGGATTGTTAGCTCTGTCATTCACAGAAGCCGGTGAGCTAAGTTGATTACTCTTCTAATCATTTTTGTTTTTCGAAGCCCTTTGTTGACACTTTCACCTAAATTTGAATTCTATTTTGAAAATACATATCTACAGAGCCGCACTACTTTCCACTTTGAAGATGATTATTTATCTAGAAGTATTCTCCCGCCGCATGAAAGACACGCGGGCAATTTTGTTCTGCCATTTTAAGATAAGCGCAGGGAGTAGCAACCTTGATCGTTGCGTTTTTGGAGTTACGGTTCCACACATGCACCAGATACGAGGATTTTGTGAGCGCCATTGTCTGCTCCAGTTTGTCGGGCTCTAGGAAGTCACGCCAGTGAACACCAGGTACAGCGAAGAAGGCGCCTTGATCATACACCTTGAAGCCTTTGCAGCGATTGGTATTATGTAGCATCTTTGGGATTTTGTCAGTGCCGCAAATCTCTTTGACCACGCGTGTTATCACCCATGGACCATTGTAGCCCCATTCATAGCCATTGAAATTAAGCTGAAAGTCGCGCAGACAGCGCCGGGCAATGTCATGACCAGTACCATTGTGTGAAAATCTCATGACGCCATTGGCCACAAATAAATCGGACTCGACTCCTGCGTAATTGGCTGGCATATCCTCCATATTTTGCAGCACAACCACATCCAAGTCCAGATACAGGCCGCCATACCGAAACAGGGTTAAAAATCGCAGGAAATCCGACATCTGAACGACTATATATCTGCAAATATCAAGAAGTTATTGACGGATTGGAGGCACATCTCTCAGAATTCAAAATTACCGCGAGCAGAATAAGTAACCGGTGTTTAACCACTCTTCGCTGGGTGTGCCGGCTGCGTATCTCCAGACATGCAGACGCCTCAAATGAACATTATTGTAGCTTAAAAGGGCATCGACTAGCGGCTGCTTGATGCCAGTTTTCCGTCCGTTGTTGTCATCATCAAGGCCGACGTCTTTTCGGACGGCAAACAAAAGAAACACTTGAAAATTGGGATTGTGGAGAGCAGCAGATTCGACTGCGCATGCCTGACGGGCGTTTAGCTTCAGGACATTATCCTCTTTATTTTCGTCATCAAAGCTGCTGGTCTCGTGAAAGAAAATGCCCCGTCCGGGTGTGGGCTTGGGCTCAGCCAGTAACACATCGTCTATACGGATGCTCTCCTCCTCCTGGTATGAATTTTTCCAAAGGTACGAGCAGGCAAGGGCTAAGCTTCCAATTAGAAATCCAATCGTAATCAGTGCCACAAACAGAAGAAGAATCCGTCGCAGGAGCATGGCGTGGACTTCAGGCTGGTTTTTTTTCCGGCGATTTCACAAAAACTAAAATTTATTGATTAAATGAAGGGCAGAAATACGAATGACAAAAGACAGGAGTTAATTTCACAGCCTTCTTAGGGTATCGGGAGATACAAGAAAGATTCTGCGTTGGTGTGCCACAAGAATTCGGAATATGAAGCTGCCTGGGTTGCTGTGTAGTTGATCTTTAATTAGTAAATTAGTAATGACTAGTCGAAACAACACTGTTCGTATTGTTATTTTATAATGAGTAGATCCACTTTCGCTTTTGGTATTTGCAAGAAACTCAATTAGTATCCTAATATCTTATCCAAAACATGTTTCAGCTATTGGACATTTAGATACGCAGAGATGAATGTGACTTTTCAATAACAGCAAAATCTCATTAATGTCCAAATGGACGTGGGCTGTGGGCTGGCCGAACAAATTGGCGACAAAAGGCGCTGCTGCAGTGGCAGTCTTAAGTGCTACGCAATTGTGTTTGGGCCCCCTATATTTATTATTTATGATTTACATACATATTTATGTACAAATATATGTACACTCATATGTATATATGATATTGTGGGCTAAACAAGAATTCGCTCACTCAGCAGCCGTGGGGCCCAGGCATTGGCATCGGCATCGGCGTCCCAGCCAGCCAGTTGGTCGACACTCGACAACATCCAAGCGACAACGAAAGCGACAGGCTGCCATAATTTCAGTGCGAATTTTTGGGTTTCGCATAGCTTTTTGCACATTGCTCGTATTTGAGATGCCATTCAAGTTATGGGCCTGACAACTTTGATTTTCATATTAGCCATGTCGCATGTATACGCCTCGCTTCCGCCGCTGCTGCCCCTTCTGCCGGGTCATGCCGTGCCAGTCCAGGCGGCCAGTCACTGTTCGCCATTCCGTATGCAAGTCAGATTCGAGTAGCCAGACGCATGGCGACTCGGTGACTTGGCCATAAATGCGATAAATCATTTTACGCGTGTTTGATTCTATTTAAGCGTGTCCCCCCCTCAGCGGGGAACGTGGCAGTGGTATTGGGAGCGGTGCGGTCCGGTCCTGTAGACAAATGCTTCACATTCCCAATTGACACCTCTTCCTTGGACTTTCCAGCTGAAGCTGTCTGCGTGCGCCGCCAAGCTGGGCGAGTGCGATGAGAGCGAGGGTCCTGTCTGTGGCACCGATGACCAGACCTATCACACGCGCTGTCACCTGCTCCGGGTGCAATGCAGCGGTCATCCGGTGAGCCTTAAGTACCGCGGTTCCTGCAATGGTAAGTGAGCGACGGTCTAGATGTTCTGCCCAAAATATAACGCTTACTTTGGCCGTTTGCAGGCTGCCTAGAGGCTGTGCAATACGCGCGTCGCCAGCAGGCACGCGATCCCAAGTACTTTGTACCGCGTTGCCGTAAGGATGGAAACTATGCTGCCAGGCAATGCTACGGAGAGGCGGGATGCTGGTGCAGTGATAGCATGGGCCGTCCCATTGAGGACACATCCACGTCGTCGCGTCGCAGGAAGCCCAAGTGTCGGGCGTACAGACGTAACCGTCGCCGCTTGCCCACCCGGCAGATCAGCTACGATGCTGACTCTACCAGAGGCAGTGCTGAGGCAAGCAGCAGTGGCAGCGGCACATCTGCTCATCGACCATGCGGCAAGGCGGATCGCATGGCTTTCAACACCAATCTGATCGAAGTGTTCCGCAGCGAGTATTTGCGCTTTGGCCCAACAGAAACTCACTCGGACGCCGCCATTTTGGACTGGAAATATACCAGACTGGACGCGGATGGCAATCAGTTGCTGGACAGGCAAGAAGTTCGCGAGCTGAAGAAGCTCCTCAAGCGGGTGAGTAGCGGCGTCTTATGTGCCCTATAGACGTCAACCTCAAATATGTGAACACCCACTTTAATGCAAACCAAACCCATGCATATTGCTGATTTGTATGCGAACAGGCGGTGAAGCCGCGACGCTGCGGACGTGCTTTTGGCAAGTACTGTGATGTCAACAAAGACGACAACCTGTCCCGTATCGAGTGGAACCTTTGCCTGTTTAAAGATGCGCATAATCGTAAGTAAAAATATTAATTTTCGTATCTTTTTGCACTCAAAAAACTAACTGTAATTCACGACTATCGATGAGAGAATCTGGTAACCAGGGATAGAACACCTATCGATAGATAAAACGTTAAGCCAGGGATGGACATTTATTTACTAACTTCCATAAACCATAATAGGGATAAATCCATTCTTATAAATCATCGAATTTGAACGTTACTCACATCTGGTATTTGTGTGTTGTATCCAGGTAGTGCCGCTGTTGATGTCCCAAATGTCAGCTTAGCCACGGCACCGCCACGCGACATGCACTATCACATTCACACCACAAATTCAAATAGCAACAACAACCACGATCATACCAACACCAATATCATCGGCAGCAGCAGTCCACACACGTACGCGGAGGATCTGAGCGTGGGCAGTGAGGAGCACGATGAGAACTACGACGATGGCTCCACAGGATACGGCAATGGCAACGGCGAGGACGAGGACGAATCGGACACCTCGAGCATGCACCATTCACGCACATCCTTGAACTATCCGTCACTAATCAGTACGTACACACATAAGCGCTTGAGTTGTTGTCTTGGGTGCAGAGCTCTAACCAAAATTAGTAACATTCATATCCATTTGGCATGTATCCAAAGGGCAGAATAGATTGTATGTTAATGCCCATATCTTGACAGTGCTGAACTCCAAGACGCCGGAATCGACGAACACCGAGAATGAGGGCGAGTCCAACTGCTGGGTAGATCAGGCAGTGGCATTGGAGGAACAAGGCGTAAGTTGAATGTCTCTCCACCCAAAACTTGAATTATTCTAATGAAAATCCTCTGGTTTCCACAGCACGGTGGAAAGAGCAGGTTCTATGTGCCCGAGTGCATGCCCGACGGACGCTATCAGCGTATCCAGTGCTACAGCTCCACTCCATACTGCTGGTGTGTGAACGAGGACACGGGCAAGAACATACCGGGAACTTGGGTAAAGAACAAGCCGCCCCAATGCGATGAGGACATTGTCGTGCGACCCATGAAGGGATGCACTGAGCCGCGTAAAACTCAGTTCCTTAAGGAGCTCAAGGCATACCTCAACACGCAACTGTCTCTGCCCAGCAGTCCAACGAGGTAGCATTGCTGGCGAAACACCGTTATGTCCATCGATATTAATCGAATTGTTCCACTATACCCAGCAGCAGCAACTCGACCATGTGGAAAACGGAGGATGAACGAATTGCCACGCTGAGCTTTGTGTATCTGGATAAGAACAAAAACAAATCATGGGAGCGCAGAGAATGGAAGGTGTTCCGGGATCTGGTCACCAGTGCCAGGTGAGCATAATTCGATTACAATTCGAAGAGTTATTATCATTCCATACACGTATTCTATTCCACAGCAATTTGCGGAGATGTGGCAAGAAGATGCCGCGCTACTGTGATGTGAATGGTGATAAGAAGATCTCGTTGGCCGAGTGGCTCAATTGCCTGCAGTCTTCCCCACGGGCTCAGAGTGCCACCACAGCTAAGCCGTCACAGTCAAGTGAGTAGAGATAGGAAACGCTTAAGGAATGATTTATAATTATTCTTGACTTCGTTCCAGACGAGACAGCCAATCCGAAACTTCTGGGATTAAATCCGCTGGAGAAATATCTTAAAGATTAGTGTTTGGGAGAATGATTCTGATTTCTGTTTGCTGCTACTGCTCTACTCATTAGATGTCGTCGTGCCATGCCACACACCCACACATTAACACACACACACCCCCTACACACAAACACACAGACACATTCCTAGCATATAGATTCTACGATTTACAAGTGTATGTTACTATTTCTTAATTAGTGTTGTAAATATTGACATAAATGTTTAAGTTTAGTGTAAAGTATTTGGTTAATCAGCACAAGGACTGGGATTTGATTGGGTTTTATTAGCGCAGCTTTTCTACGAGACGATCACAGTTGACGAGTCGTAGCAGCAGCTTGGCAGCATACGATAGCAGCAGTAGCACCAGCGTGGTCACCTCCATGATGACAAAATGCGATATGGAAGAGCCAATTTCCAGCCAGGAGCCCTGATTACGCACCAGAAATAGGAAGTTGAAACCCATTATGTCGCATATGATCAGCAAACAGATGAAGATTCTCTGTTCCTGCTCACGCGCACACTCGCAGTGGGTGTAGACAATGTTCAAGTTGAGCACCACCGGCAGGAGCAGCTTCAGCAGCACCAGTCCCATTATGATGAATGGCAGGAAGTTGCTCAGAAAGCAACGGGCAATGTTGGGATCAAACGAACTGATCGACGCAATGTTTCCGCTGCCAAACAGCGAAAAGAATGTATACAGTAGAATGGTGAATGCCAGGCGCAGAACCGATTTCTCTGAACTCCGGGAACTCTGGGCGGAGAGCGACAGGCTTAGCTCCATGGTGAGCAGCTGCACGAACACCGACTCGTATGAGGTGCAAAGAAGAGCATAGAGTGAGCTCAGATTGAAGCAGATCTGGGCTAGACGCAGCTCCAGCTTTGACTCACTGTTGAATGCAATGGAGGCAAAGGCGTAGATCAGGAACGACCAACTGGCCAGGTGAAGTACAATGGGAACGCCAATTTGGTTTGAATGAAGATGCACACAGACGATGGTGTTCAGCAGGACCAGAGCGTTGCAGTATTTTGTGTGATTGCTCAACATGAGGCGTCGCTCCGTGCACCACAAAGCATTCACGAGTATGAGCACAATGCCAAATAGAAATAGATACCGATTTTGGTAGCCCACTGACGGCGGTAGAAGCGGGAAACAGCCAAGGGTGACGACCAGCGCCAGCCAAGAGTAGAATTCCCGGGAATTAGGCACAAAGTTTCTCCAATTGTTGTAGCATCCAAAGGCAACGAAACACACGGAGATCAGGCGACGCTCGAAGAAGGTGAACACCATCAGTTCAGCGCATACAATAATCAGCAGCAGTTGCGACGCGGAAGTCAGTCGTGCAGAGGCTCCAGGCTGACTGATGGGCACAGCTACAGATGAGGTTCCGCACGCTTTGGGCTTCAATGCCATCATCCACACAGGTAACGGGAGCAACAGATAGAATGCAATGGCAATCTGCGCACGCTGCGCCACAAGAAAGAATAGCAACAAGAACATGGACACATCCAACGTCACTCTGGACACCTTTTCTTGCCTCTCCAGCATTATCTGAAGTTTTCCAGCCGAGTTCCTGGACAACAGACGATACAGGTAGAATATCCAACCGAGGAATGTGGCCGTTGTGCTTAGCAGCAAGCAATTCCGATAGTAGCCGTGATAGTAGTCTATTCCCTTTAGTGTTAGCTCCATCACGACATTGCTCCTGGCCAATAATTTCGAATAATCCCTCTTCGTGTGAAGCTTGACTATCAACTGCTTGTAGGCATCGATTTCTGCCTGCGACAGCTCATCGAAGTTGTTCAAAATGTCAGCAAAGAGGCCTTTCCTGTGCTGCTCCAGCAGCTTTTCGTATTGAGCCAGCAACTGGAGCGCATTGCTGTGGGCAGCCATGGCCTCGTACTCCTCACTCACAGCCATGTACCCGGTAGGCAGTATCCCAAAATTGTTCATCGGTGGAGGAAGGCCAATTAGCGCGGACATCAGTGGCGTCAGCTGTGCTTGCTCCAGCTCATGCAACGGCAGCTGCACGCCCTCATCGTTGGCTACAAACTTGCGGGTGCCCACAGTGGATGCGGTACGGGAAACTCCAGCGCCCCAGAGCATGAAGGGTGTTTCGGTTTCATGTGGGGCGCCAGAACCATGTGAGCCTAGAAGTTTTATTATTATTATTAAATGTGAAAAAATGAATGAGTGTTTTGGATGCAAACCTGAGTCTGTCATGCCGTGGTCGGAGGTCAGCAAGTAGACTGTTTTCTTATCAGGAAAGACACTCTCAAATTCGTTGTAAATCTGCCAGATGCCATGCTCCGTAAAGTTGAGATTTTCTAGGAAAAGCGCAGTCCCTGGCTTGTGGACGTGGCCGGCTGTGTCGAGGCCTAGCAAGTGCATGAAAAAAACAACCGGCTGATGTTTGTGCAACTCCTCCTTCTTTCGGTTGAGGAGAAAGCGAACCTGCCTGAACACCCACTCGTCCACCTTGTAGGTTTTGTGCTTGCCCGAGAAGTCCATGTCGTGAGAGTATGCATCGAAGTACATTCGGGGGTCGTTCTCGCCGGTCAGCTTTTGGAATATGTTAAGAATGTCTGGAGCTCCCCAAGAGTAGCTGTGACCACTGCGATTGAGCACCGTGTCAAAGTCAATGGGGTTTTCCTTCCAGCCTTTTAGAACTGCCGATGGATCTTCGTAGAGGCCGGCAATCAATGCGATGTGACCCGGTCGCGACTCGGTGGGCACACGAGTGCGCGATATACCAACCAATCCTTCGCGCATGAATATCTTCCGTAAGTGCGGCACATGCCGGCAATTGTCTTCGAAAAACGAAGCGGCACGGAGTCCATCAGTGACAATGAGAACCAAACGATTCGCCGGCGCTTCCAATCCGTATCCAATAAACGGACTCTGTGGCTTCAGATCATTGATGACGGGGGAACGAAAGTATATCACAAATATAGAGCCCAGAAGCAGTACATGGACCACCAAGGCGTAAACAATCCACATTTTTAAGATTTGTAATTCATGACTCAAATATTAGCTGCTAGCCTACTGCAGCGCCTTTGTCGATATCGATTAAATATGACAGCTGACTCTCAGAAGTATACCAAAAATACCTTAAATATACCAACCATCTTAAACCATTTTCCTCGTTTTTGTTGTTCTATTTAATATTACCAGCAAAGTAGGATTCTCAGCGCTAAAACCATAGTTTTATCCCAATCATTAATCAATTTTGCACAAGATTGGCTAGTTTTCACGACTGCGTTTTGTTGGAATGTCTCCAAATTAACTTTAAAACTAAAAAGGTAAACCCATTTGCAAAATATACCGAGGAAAATAGCTAACTTATCCGAATTAAACCGCCTATATTTAAATAGTAAATAATACGTTTGAACATAAGCGTGCACTCTGTGAATAAGCATAGAAAGAAACGTGAGGCCATGCAGCATAATATATTAAACTATATTAACCTCAAACATGGGCTGATGTTTGACAATACGATCAAAGCTCAGGCGCGACAGGTCCAGAGTGCTGAACCTGCCCTCCAAAATTAGTTCAGAAATGGCTCGTCCAACCGCCGGCGTCTGTTGAATGCCATGGCCACTGAACCCAGTCGCTATGAGGAGGTTGCTGTAGTGTGGATGCCTGCCTATGATGCCATTGGCATCGAACGTATTGTGCTCGTAGTAGCCGGCCCAGCTGCTCTGCACTTTGACGGCCTCAAAGCAAGGCACACGGTTTGCTAGGGTGGGCCAGATATCGGTGTCAAAGTAGCCATGATCCACATCTAAGGTCTCACAGTTGGGCTCCTCCTCGTCACAGGGACTGCGTCCGCAGAGGAAGTTACCGCCCAGGCCGTCGCGTCGGAAGTACGTTCCATCGGGATCTATGGTCAGTGGCGTGGCCAAGCCTGGGCAATTCTCGCCCTGCGTGCTGAACACATAGACATATCGCTTTCGTGGCTCCACCGGTAGAGGTACTCGCAGCAGTGCCTCCTTCGCGTGGCTGCTGCCAATATTTGCTAGACTAGCCAGCTGACCGGAGTGAGCTCCTGCCGCCAGTACGCAGGTGTCGAACTTCACGGTGCGTTGAATGCCATCGCCAGCATCCACCACTGCTCCAGACAAAGCCCCAGCGCCATCCCACTCGAAGCCAATCACTTCTCCGTTGGCAAACTGAGCGCCAAAGGAACGCGCCTGCTTCTTGAAACCCATCAGCAGGGCCCAGGGATCAAACCATCCCTCCTTCTCAATGCCATACCAGCCTAGTTCNGCTGATGTTTGACAATACGATCAAAGCTCAGGCGCGACAGGTCCAGAGTGCTGAACCTGCCCTCCAAAATTAGTTCAGAAATGGCTCGTCCAACCGCCGGCGTCTGTTGAATGCCATGGCCACTGAACCCAGTCGCTATGAGGAGGTTGCTGTAGTGTGGATGCCTGCCTATGATGCCATTGGCATCGAACGTATTGTGCTCGTAGTAGCCGGCCCAGCTGCTCTGCACTTTGACGGCCTCAAAGCAAGGCACACGGTTTGCTAGGGTGGGCCAGATATCGGTGTCAAAGTAGCCATGATCCACATCTAAGGTCTCACAGTTGGGCTCCTCCTCGTCACAGGGACTGCGTCCGCAGAGGAAGTTACCGCCCAGGCCGTCGCGTCGGAAGTACGTTCCATCGGGATCTATGGTCAGTGGCGTGGCCAAGCCTGGGCAATTCTCGCCCTGCGTGCTGAACACATAGACATATCGCTTTCGTGGCTCCACCGGTAGAGGTACTCGCAGCAGTGCCTCCTTCGCGTGGCTGCTGCCAATATTTGCTAGGCTAGCCAGCTGACCGGAGTGAGCTCCTGCCGCCAGTACGCAGGTGTCGAACTTCACGGTGCGTTGAATGCCATCGCCAGCATCCACCACTGCTCCAGACAAAGCCCCAGCGCCATCCCACTCGAAGCCAATCACTTCTCCGTTGGCAAACTGAGCGCCAAAGGAACGCGCCTGCTTCTTGAAACCCATCGGCAGGGCCCAGGGATCAAACCATCCCTCCTTCTCAATGCCATAGCAGCCTAGTTCAATTTGGTCCGTGGAGAGCCAGGGAAATTGCTTGCGCAGGGCCTCCGGGCCGAGTAATTTGTTGCGGGCACCCAATTCGTTCTGCAGCTTCGAGTTCTGTGTGAGGATTTCGGCTCCCTTGGAGGTGGCCATGACCAGGTAGCCGTGAGGCTGGAAGCAAAGATCCACATCGCCCAAATGCATTTGGCTATTCACTATGAAGTCGTGGCCATAGAGTCCCATTTGTATGTTTTCCGCCAGTGAGAACTGCTGCCGCACTCCGCCCACCGACAGCACAGTCGATGCCTTCGTGTACTGCAGAAGGGAATGGTTGACAGTCAGCAGTCAAGATCAGTGACTCTCTACTCACAGCATGATCGCGCTCCACCACCAGCACATTGAGCTTCTTTCCCTGCTGCCGTGTCTTGGAAGTGAGCCAGAATGCCGAAGAGGCTCCCATGCCGCCGCCGCCAACGATCAGGACATCACAGCTGTTGGGCAGAGCATCGCCTAGAGCCTTGCTGCTCTGACAGCGTAACTGTAACTGCTGCAGCGCACGCGATCGCAGAACTCGTCCGAGAGGCAGCATTTTTCACACTAACCGACGGTGGCGCCCACCTCTGTGTGTGTCCGCATCTCAATTAGCTCTGATAAGCGGCAGATTAGATTTGTGGTCAGCTTTTTGTAAGTGTTTTGTGTGTGCCGAGTAAATAGAAAGACCCACACGAGAGCGGAGACAAGTACAATCTTTATACAACTATAAACAAGCTTTGCTTATCTGACAAGCTCCTTCGAATCTTCCATTGTTGGCGAATTGGCGATTGCGGCTGGGTGATCGTCGCCTTAGAAATGTAATGAATGTCAATGTACATTATATCTACTTAATTTGCATATCCTTAAGCCAAGCATTCAAGGCGATTAGGTTAGTTTAAGATCAGCCTTAGGTGGCGTCAAGATTGCGCTTTAGTACACGGGTAACAGGGCCTGAAAAAATGTGAACTGTATGTTAATTTTAACAGTTTTATATAAAATGTTAACTAAATTGCATTTTCCTCTTCGGTTTAATATTACGAGCAAGCAAAGACTCTCAGCCCGGAGCCAACAATTTTATCCGCGTGAAGAATAAATTGTCCACTAGTTGGGCTAGTTTTTAGGACTCATTTTTATTGGATTGTGGTTGTGAGATTTCGCGCTATTGGAATTTCAGGACAATTGCAATCAGACCCAGCAGCAGCTGTGCAGCCCAACTTAGCAGATGCACCACCGGAAGAAGCCCCACGACGTTGAAATGAATTATGGAAGCTCCCATTTCCGCCCAGGAACCCTGATTGCGCACCAAGTAGAGGAAGTTCAGTCCCATTATGTTGCAAATGATAAGCATGCAGATTAGGATTTTCCTCTCCCTCTTACGGACATACTCGCAGTGAGTATGTAAAATTGACAAGTTCACTACAACCGGCAGAGAGTGCTTCAGCAGAACGAGACCCATGGTTACGAATGGTGCATATTTCCCGATGAAGCAGCGTCCACTGTTGGAATCAAACAGATCGAGGGATTTGAGGGTTTCCATGCCAAAGAATGAGAATAATGTGTAGAGGAGAATGCTGAAGGAGGCGCATAGAACAGATTGGCGCGAGTTCACATTCAAAGCGGTAAGAGATAGGCTCAGTTCCATGGTGAGCAGCTGCACGAAGACGGACTCGTATGATGTGGAAAGCAGAGCATGGAGCGATCCCAGATTGAAGCATATCTGAGCCAGACGATCCTCCAGATTGGACTCCTTGTTCCTCATAATAGATACAAAGGCATATATCAGGAAAGACCAGTTGGCTACGTATAGCACAATGGGTATGTCGTAGTCCTCCGAGTCAAGATACGCACAGATGACGGTATTCAACAGGATCACAGCATTGCAGTATTTGGTGTGATAGCTGTAGCTGGAGCGTCGCTTCTTGAACCAAAATTCTTTAAGAAGAACTAGCACCACCCCAGCTAGAAATAGATACCAATTCTGATAGCCCTCTGCCAGTGGCAGAAAGGGGAAACATGCCAGGATGACGACCAGCGCCAGCCAAGAGTAGAATTCCCGGGAATTAGGCACAAAGTTTCTCCAATTGTTGTAGCATCCAAAGGCAACGAAACACACGGAGATCAGGCGACGCTCGAAGAAGGTGAACACCATCAGTTCAGCGCATACAATAATCAGCAGCAGTTGCGACGCGGAAGTCAGTGCAGAGGCTCCAGGCTGACTGATGGGCACAGCTACAGATGAGGTTCCGCACGCTTTGGGCTTCAATGCCATCATCCACACAGGTAACGGGAGCAACAGATAGAATGCAATGGCAATCGGCGTACGCTGCGCCACAAGAAAGAACAGCAACAAGAACATGGACACATCCAACGTCACTCTGGACACCTTTTCTTGCCTCTCCAGCATTATCTGAAGTTTTCCAGCTGAGTTCCTGGACAACAGACGATACAGGTAGAATATCCAACCGAGGAATGTGGCCGTTGTGCTTAGCAGCAAGCAATTCCGATAGTAGCCGTGATAGTAGTCTATTCCCTTTAGTGTTAGCTCCATCACGACATTGCTCCTGGTCAATGATTTCGCATAGGCCCTCTTCGAGTGAAGTTTGACTATCAGCTGCTTATAGGCATCGATTTCTGCCTGCGACAGCTCATCGAAGTTGTTCAAAATGTCAGCAAAGAGGCCTTTCCTGTGCTGCTCCAGCAGCTTTTCGTATTGAGCCAGCAACTGGAGCGCATTGCTGTGGGCAGCCATGGCCTCGTACTCCTCACTCACAGCCATGTACCCGGTAGGCAGTATCCCAAAATTGTTCATCGGTGGAGGAAGGCCAATTAGCGCGGACATCAGTGGCGTCAGCTGTGCTTGCTCCAGCTCATGCAACGGCAGCTGCACGCCCTCATCGTTGGCTACAAACTTGCGGGTGCCCACAGTGGATGCGGTACGGGAAACTCCAGCGCCCCAGAGCATGAAGGGTGTTTCGGTTTCATGTTGTGTGCCAGATCCATGGATGCCTAATCGGATCAATGGTTTAATGGTAGTCAAATAAATTGGTTTCTTTTTCTGTATCTCATACCTGTGTCTGTCATGCCGTGGTCGGAGGTCAGCAAGTAAACAGTTTGTTTATCGGGGAAGGTTTCCTCGAATTGTTGGTACATCTCCCATATGCCATGATCCGTAATGTTGAGGCTATTGTGGAAAAGGGATGTTGCTGGTTTGTGGACATGTCCGGCCCTGTCGGTGCTTGGCAAGTGCAAGAAGAACACTACCGGACTAGAGGTGCTCCACTTGTTTTTCATGTGATCAAGGAAGACGCTTACTTGGCTAAACACCCATTCGTCCAGTCTGTAGGTTGCCCATCTGGCCGATTCGTATACTTTGTCATCGAAGGAATGGAAGAGCACGCCGCCTCCGCGCTTGGTCACGCTCTCGAATACGCCCATTATGTCCGGACATCCCCAGGAAAAGCTGTACCCACTGTGGTTGAGAAGAGAGTCAAACTGAACCGGATTCCTTTTCCAGCCCGTGAAAACTGCCGATGGATCCTCGTAGAAGCCCGCCAGCAAAGCTATGTGGCCCGGTCGAGACTCGGTGGGGGTTCGGGTGCGCGATATTCCCACCAATCCTTCGCGCATGAATATCTCCCGCAAGTGGGGTACATGGTGGCAGTTATCTTCAAAAAACGAAGCGGCGCGCAGTCCATCAGTAGCAAAGATAACCAAACGACTCGCCGGAGCATCCAAGGCGTAAGCGAGAAGTGGTGGCTGTGGCTGCAGGTCCTGGATGACTGTCGATCGAAAGTTGACAAGTATCGAGCCCAGGAGCAGTACGTGGACCAGAAATGCACAAAATATCCACATTGTGTTCAAAATGTATGCTGCCCCTGTATTAAAATGCGATAAGTGCGCCCAGACATATTGAATACTGTAATCGAATGGCAGTTGGGGGCCAGCCTACTTATATCGAATGGGGGCCAGTGTACATCGATGTTTTCTTATCGATGTTTGCCATAGTTTGGAAAAATGTCTTCGGCGGCACGTTTATTTACTAGTTTTCGTTTATTTTCTAAAAGTGCCGTATACTGCAATGCCATCGAAGGAAAAAGCCTGGTGGACGGCGTTGCTATTACCAAAAATGGCAAAACAATAGTTGCCTGGCATGCAGAGACAGCCTTTCCCTACGAACACTCAAAGCCGCTGCCCACAGTTGTGGAGGTGCAAACGTCTGCGGTGATCAAGGAGAGTGCACTGAAGACTGCGATGTCGGCGTTTCATAGGAAGCATCCCGAGCAGTCCCGCTACGAGCTGTCGAAACTGACACACACGACAAAGCACCGCTGGTTCCCGCGAGCACGCGACAAGAAGGCCAAGAAGACGCCCATGGATAGGCCATACCTGTAAACTTGGGTGCATTGCATAATAAATTCGTTTACGTTTTAATCCATGCGCTGTCTCTTTATGAATACATTTAACAAATCAGAAATGGGAATGTCTGTCGACGCCGGGGCCTGCTGCTGCTGCTGCTGCTGGGAGGCTGCATTGTTGCGATGCTGTGGAAATGTGGGCATCATGCGTGGGTCACAGGCTGCAGGGGAGAGAAAACTTAGTCTGGAACTACTCTGAAGCTAATGCTAATTATCTTACCCTGTGGCGGATCAATAAAGTACTTGCTGTTTAAGCACTCCTCGGCGGTGGCTCGTGTGTTGGGGTTGTAGATGAATAAAATGTTGAGGAGATTTCTGCCCGCCTGGGCGATTGCATTGAATTTGGATTTGAGATTGTTGTACGGCTGCTGGCTCAATGTGAAGTTCTGCACGGCCGGCAGCTCTGAGAAACCAGGCCAAATGGACTCGGATGGCACACCCAGCAAATCAATTATCATATCCAGCTGGGCAATCTCAGAGCTCCCGGGCAGCATCGGTTTGCCCAGCAGCAGCTCGCCGAGTATGCAGCCAAACGACCACATGTCTACGGCTGTGGTGTGTGTTTTGCATCCGAGCAGTAGCTCCGGGGCACGATACCACAGGGTCACCATTTGCGGGGTCATTGGCTTGGGGGGATTGCTGTACATCCGCGCCAAGCCAAAGTCAGCTGCAAGAGTGAATAAGGTTAGATGTTGGGCGTGCAAATACCGCTCGCAATACTTGCCCAGCTTAATGCATCCATCGTCCGTCATCAGCAGGTTGGAAACTTTCAAATCGCGATGGATTATATACCGATCGTGGATATACTTTAGGGCACGAAGTACCTGCAATGTAATGCACTTGACCTCGGATTCGGTAAACGGCTGGGCCATGTTGTCCAGCACAGAGGCCAGGTCCTGCTCGCAGAAATCCATGACCAGGAATATGCTGTCCAGGCTCTTGCCCACAACAACCTCCCGCAGGCGAACGATGTTCTCGTGCTTCAGTTGCTTGAGTATCATTATTTCACGCAATCCGCTCACAGGCAGGCCGTCCTTTTCCTGGTCCATGCGCACCTTCTTCAGGGCCACAATTTCGTTGTGGCGAGTGTCACGAGCTCGGTCTGGGAGAAATCTGGTTGGTTAATTCGGTTTAATGTGGTTTCGACTTGCGGCTGACTTACAAACAATGCCATAGCTGCCTTCTCCCACGCGGTTAAGCTTCTCGAACTCGGCCACCGGTCGGCAGCGTCCGTACTAAATATAGAAGGGTGTAAACCACAGATTAATTTATCTGAGCAGCGCTCAACGGCCCGGAAAACTTACCACATTCTGTTCTGGTATCGGCATGGGGGTTCCACTGTTCTTCAGCGATATAAGAAATCCCTTGCGTGTGATGGGCGCCTGGGGATCGGGGGCCGGGTTGGCTTCCATTTCGTTAGACTGCAAGCTGGACGACATCATCAACAAAACAAAATAGAACCGGCATTCGGACGGGACGGAACGATTGTTCTGTTTCAGTGTGAAATACCGAAATATACCTTGTCCATTAAAGAATATACCGCAAGTATACCGTAATCTTACATAATTTTTATCGATTTTGCTATTCTATTCAATATTACCAGCTAATTCGGACTCTTAGCTCTAAAACTATAGTTTTATCCAACTAACAAATCAATTTTCCACAAGATTGACTAGTTTTCATGACTTTCTTTAATTGGACTGCTTACAAAATTAGAATCAAATAACAAAATATCATAGAACGTTACGTGAGTGGGAATGCAATGTTACGTATTTGACAAGAACGTCAGGGAACGAACGTATAGATTTGGCGCGCCAATTGAAGGGTTTTTAGTGAGCTCTGTGATGTGCTCTAATATTTTACCGCATGCTAAATAACTAAAAGTCATGAAGGAGTTTCGTAATAGCAACTAATTCGAGCAAAAACAAAACGGCTAGAGAACTGAGCACGATTTAAGAAAGTGAAATTGCACCAGTTTGAAGAAATTTCGTTAGAGATTCAAATGCATGCTTCAAGCATTAAAAAAAGCATTGCTTACAGCTCTTCATCACTGTCTACGCATGTGTTAAACTCTTTGCCTAAATCCACACACACACATCCACAACAACGACAAGCCACTATCAATTATCACCCTGAACTAGGAGCCGATCACCAATCGTCTCACTACCGGTGGTATAAAAACGCCAACCCCCAGCCGAAGTGCATCATTCAGCATACAGTTCCAGTGCCAGTGTCAGTGCTAGTGACACACAAAACCCAAAAGGATATAAACCACAAACAACACACAAATATCTATCATCATGCAGAAGAATACAATTTGGTATGCCGCTGTGCTGCTTGTGCTCTACCTCACCCTCGTCTTTTGCGATGAAACGGAGGAAGCTGCTGACACTCCGGCCGCTTTGGATAACCAAACGGACAGCTGGGAGAACCTGGGCCGAGAACTGATGGAATTCGAAGGACGCACCCGTCGGCATCGTCACCACCTGTTTTGTAAGTTGAGCTCCGGGGATGGGGCTTATCCAATCGAGAGATCCAGATGTGCGAGTTAAAATTCTGATCAGCATAATCACAATGCGGCGTGTAAACATGAACGCTGCCAATTTGACACTTTCTTTGGAAAGTTTTTCCTCTCCCAAGCCAGACGCATCTTTCCCAATTGGACGATCACGAATCGTTCCGTTCAATTAACACTTTTCACTTTCAATCGGGGCACAGATATTGTTTAATAGATTGTCGTAGATCACGTTCCCTTCCCTACATCCACTTGCTCTCGATCAGTTGTAGAATTTCGAACTGATCTTTGAGTATTATCTAATTCAATTTATATTCCAGATCGTCATCTGTGGCCCCTGGCCATTGCCTACTTTGTCAAGGTGAAAGTGGTGATCGTTTCGTTTTTCGTTGGAAGCGCCATCTACTTGGGTCTGCGCTACTTCTGGCCCCATGCCAAATGCAACCAGGAGATCATCCTGGATCATCCGTAAGTGGAAGAGGGATCCCATTTTGGACTTGTAATTATTTCCATAATTCTTTGATTTAGTCCTCCATCGTACAGTCATCACGATCACATTCCCTACTCCCTCGATCACGATCATTCGGATCACTACGATACGCCGTCATCCTTTGACTCCAGCTCTGGACCCAGCTTCGAGCCCTACTCCGGCTATAGCAGCTACGCCGGCTCAGACATAGTCTCGGATGTCCATGGCGACTATCAAAGTGATGCTCCGACAGCGCCTTCCGATGTGCATCGTCGTGGCAGGCGCAGTGCAGATGAGCAGCCAGAGATTGATATAGAGGATAATGAACAGGAGCAGGAACAGGTCGAGATTGTGGACGAGGAGATATCCGAGAGTGTGGCCCGTCAAATGCCAGCCGAAGAGCAGTGAGTAAAGAGCAGTTGGGGATTTCTTTTTATAAGGATTTAACCACGATAAACTCTCAACAGGATTGCGGACTTCATGTTTGCCTTCTTGGGCCTCGACTCGAAGGCCTGCCGCCGTCGCTTCGTTTGCGAAATGGAGTTCCGCTCCAAGCTGAACCCCCTGACCAGCATGGCCTTCCGCATTGTGGGACGCGGCTTCTTCGATAAGTATACAAACTCGCGCAATCCCCAGGCGAGGGCCAACCGCTTCAGCGAATGTGCCGCCGTGAATCCCGAGTGCATATTCGTCGAGAATGGCGAGACCACTGAAGCCGAGGGCCAGCAGGAAGAGGAGGGCCAGCAGGCAGCGCAGGAAGTTCAGGAAGAGCAGGGACAGCAGGCAGACCAGGAAGAGAAGCAGGCCAGCAGCTTGGACTCCCAGAACGAAATCAATCTGCAGACTGAGCGGCGCAATGCCAGGCTGCGCAACCGTCGCGGCGATCGCATGCTGAGTCCCATTGCCGAGCACATTCTGATGCAGTAGATGGGAGCGCAGCGGAGCAGCGAATTGTTTAATTAATCTATTTATTGTATTTATTTATTTTAGCTATAAGGGTGAAGAACGACGTACCCAAAATGGAACACACAAAATAAACTTGCCTCAAACCATTCAAAACAGAACTAGAAATCTTCTCGAGTTAAGGGTAACACAGAGAAGGGGTGGTAAGGGGCGATTAAAAAAAAGGAAAACACAAAACCAAAAAATGAATACCTTGAAATGTGACTAAAGTTTGATGATCGACTAAGGGGAGAATGGGGCTATGGCTGCCATTGGCACTAAATCTTCTTGGTCTTTTTCTTTTTGATGGCATTTATCTGCTCGGCCATTTGTTCGATTTCGCGCTGGTTGATCGGCTCGTTCTTGCGCACCTGCGCCTTGCTCTTCTGGCGCTGGGAGAGATCTGACGCCAGATCGTTTAGTTTGCCCCACACAAAGGAGAGGAAATTGGTGGCCAGATCCTGCTTGAAGAAGGCAATCGCCACGAGCGCAATGAGCACCAGCGCAGAGATCGAATTCTGATTCAGATCCGTCTCGGCTGCTCGCACCTCGGGCTTGA